AAAGTTTTTTTTAGGTACATTTATCACCAAAAACAAAAATAATTTTTGGTGGATCAAACATCAAGGTAAAAAAAAATACTTCTTAATACTGAATGCACTTAAAAACTATTTAGAGATGCTGGATGCCCCACAAAATATTTTGAGGTACTAGATACAAATTAAAAAAAAAAACTCTGGGATGCTCCATATCCCTGAACCCAAATAATAACTTATAATATATATATATATATATAGAGAGAGAGAGAGAGAGCCACGCATATGACCAGACCGGGCACTATTTTTTATGAAAACAATGCTTATATCAAATTATTTATATCTATTATCTCAAGTTTTTTTACTAATACGTAACCATATTTCTATTTTTAAAATATTAATATTTAATATCATTTAATTATAAACGCACATGAAAAAAGATAAAATATATGACTATATGAAATTAGAGAACTTGACATAATGAATATAAGTAACTTAATCTAAGTTTTTTTTTTATCAACCTAAGTATTTCCACATTATTATCTTAGTTAATTATCAGTTATTCTTGCCGTATTAATCCTATTTGTTTGTTGGCAAAAAAAAAAATCCTATTTGCTTATTTTAATTTTAAAATAATAAATAAGTAATTTTGATAGATTGTGAATAATAAAAGTTATTACAAGTGTTGTTAAAACTATTATAAAAAGAGGCTTTTAAAAACTTGATAAATATTTTTCTATTATTTTTCTATTTATAATTTTAAGTCAATTTTAATTAATTTTTCATCTTTACGAGAAGGTTAAGACGAAAAGGATCGTGGCATGGGTGAGGAAGAAGTCTTTTACGTTGCTACTGTGATCGATTTTAATATGACGTGACATTAGAAAACCAAACTAGGAAAGTAGGAAGGAGGAAAGGGAACATAAGAGCAGGAGGGAGTAACCAAACCATAGAATCAGGAATACGTTGATTGGTTTGAAAGGGATTCGAACAGAGGGATATCTCCAACTCTTCTCTCCTCTGTTGGTTCCTTATAGCAGTAGGAGTATTAGATATTAGAGTAGCCTAGCGTCATCGAAACATGAGACTCGAAGGTCATTTTCAACGGCATTATTAAATGAGGGTACGTTATTAATGGCTCAATATTAGATTAGACCCATCAACTCACAGGAAAGAAGTACATATGAGTATAGAACACTATCAGCAGGCAGGGGCCTTGTGAGTTTCGACTTGTGAGTTGTGAGGCTAAGAGAGATCTTTTTTGTTAATTTTAATTCTTAAAATTTGACATGATTTTCGTTTTAGTTTGATTAATATAATTTTTTATTCTTTAAATTTATTTTTATTTTGATTTTGATCTCTCAAAATTTTAAATAATAAATTTTAGTTTTTTAATTTTTTTTTTCAATTGAGAGTTTTTTAATTTTTTAAAACACTGGTCTTTATAAACTATTTTGATTTTTGAGAAACTAAAACCTGTAATTTAAAATTTGAGAGATTAAAATCAAAATAAGAATAAATTTAAGGAGTAAAAAATTATATTGACCCTTCTAATTTTTGAAATTTGCAACTAGTATTTTTGGTATTTTAAACTTTTTTTAAGAACAAAAAAACTATTTCAGGTAACAAAAATTTGTAAGTGAATCAAAAGTAGATTAAATTTTAACCGTTATTTCAAATTTCTCGAGCCAAAACTAAAATGAGTCCCTTTTTTCAATATAATTATTTGATTAAAGACTTGTTTGAAATTATTGTAAAAGCTTTTAAAAAGGACTTTTTAATTATCATTTATAAAATATAAAATAAACATTTTAATAAAATTTCACGTCGCAGATACAAATAAGCCTAAACATACTGAAGCACAGATATTTAGGGATGAGGAGGGAAGTCACAAGTTTCTTATAGGACACCTCAAACGCAGCAGGGGAGAGAGAAGGGGGCTAGTAGTGGGAGTACCGCAGCATTGGCGGTAGGGACAAACAGTAATAAATTAAGGCAGCATTGTCTTTATATTTTGTCACCATGCTGCTATGCTGCCCCCATGAGGGCATTTGCACAATTGCACTTCTCTGTGCACAAGACAAATTGTGCCCTGCCCTCTCCTCTTTGCTATTCTGGGATTTCCCCAACCCTGGTGGGCCATCCCTTTTCAATTTTTTTTTTTTCCTAATATCTTTTTTCTTTTAATTTTCATTTGCTTTTAATAAATAATAAATATAGTTAATTCTTTTGACAATTCTTACCTTTCAATCATCTAGAATTTACGCGAAGAGATTACCAATAAGAGTTGATGCTCTACTTACTAAAGAATCAACTCATAACTCGCGTAATAATTTACAAAGTTATTAGTTCAAATCTTACCGTCAATATGAGGACTTTATTAGTGAATGATCTGTAAATATATTTTAAGCATTTTTTAAAATTAAAGGCATGTCTTGATCTTGGTGAGCTTTCGGGATCAATTCACCTAAACTTTCTTATTCACGAAAAGAAAATTTACTTGAAGACATTATAATGAGAGCATTTCAAAATTAAAAATAAATCATTGCATCTTTTTAGAGTTTAGGTTATTTATTGTCACATATAATAAAAAAATTATACTCATTTAATCCTAAATATAAAACTTATTTTATAGTGTAAGTTATGTTATAAGATGAGTTTTATATTTAGGATAAAAAATCTCAATTAATTAAGCAAACCAAAAAGGTAAAAATGAGCTGTTTGCCGAAGAAAGCCAAAATGACCTCAATAGCCTTTTTGCAGTCCCTTTTGTTTTTTGTTACTCCTCCGGTCCTTATTATAAGATCCAATTTGACTTTTTATTTGGTCCTAATTATAAGACCCAATCCATTTTGTCTCTTATATTTATGCATTTTTTTCCAAGATAATCCTTCTAATAATGATAGTTTTAGCCAATATACTTAATTAGTAAGGATATTTTAGAAATGGCAACACTTATTTATTATAAATAACCAACTTAACTTACTTCCTTAATCTCCTCAAATAAGTCAATTGGGTCTTATAATTAGGACCGGAGGAGTAATTTAATTTCAAACCGCTTAGGAAGGTATTTTCTGGAATTGCCAAAATTAAGGTCAAACCCTCCATAAAATCACGCTATTTTCGGAACGTTTCATTCCTAAATTTTCTCTCCTCTGTCCCACATTATAGGATGTACACACATGAATTTGCAATGTAATCACTTTTGCAAGCTCGAAAGGGTAATGCTTCATTACCAAATATGAATTTGACCAAAAAAAAAAAGACACCAAATATGAATTTAAACGAAAAAGACTCAAAAGATAAAGTTATATTACTTCCGATTCTTAATATAAGATCTTGATCCACTTTATCTCTCATATTCATGTATTTTTTTCCAAGGTAGACTTTTTAGCAATGGTAATTCTAGTTAATACATTTAATTAGCAAGGATATTTTAGAAAATACAACACATATTTATTACAAATAACTAAATTTATTTTCTTAATCTCATCAAATTAGTCAACTAATTTTTATAATTAGGACCGGAGGTAGTATTTTTTATTAAGCTAAATTATACATAACACTTTTTTTTTTTTACCACAATTATACATAACACTTTGACCTAGAATCATATACAGTTTTTTTGACCAGAATGAATCATATACAGTTAACGTCCCTAAACTTTTACATTTATATAAATAAACTCCCACGTAACTAGTTTTTGTGCCTTACTTATCTGCAGTAACTTAAAATTTAGGAGAGTTATCTATATATATTAATCAAAGTTTGAGAGATTAAATGCACACAAAAATAAATGAAGTATATAATTGATAGTCGGGGTTATTTGTACAAACTTAAAAAGTCCATGGAGATTTGTTATTAAATTTTAAAAATAAAGAGTTTTATTTGTATTTGATTCAAGTTCCTGAAAAATTTTATATAATTTAGCTGGCAAAAAAATGAAAATTTTATGTAGTTTAGTTTTTTATTTAAAAAAAAAATTCAGCTGACCCTTTTTTTCTTGCATGAAGTTTTACCCTCATTAATAGCAATACCAGTCACTAAGCGCTGCAATGCACGTCTAACCAGCAGTAGTAAAATTAGTCACTTGACTGCCTTTCACTAGATTGAGACTTGAAGCTTTAGATATGAAAAATAAAATCATATTAAAATTGTTGCTTATAGTTAAATTTATTAATCCATTAAATCTAATAATATTCAAATCTAACTCGATATAACTAAATGTTTTATGATAGTAGTAGCACGAGAGAGACATCCGAAGTTCAATTTAAATATGGGAATTTAAAACTTCGGATAACATTGATTTTATTCTGTCATAAACAATTTGTAATTCTGTCAGATAATTTTTTGGAAAGATTATTAATATCAATAACATGTTTATAAATCCACAATAAGTGGCTTATTTCCCGAACCACGCCTAACCGACGTTTTTTTTATAAACAAGTGCAAAAAGACTCATTTTCCTTTCAGAAGGGCGGAAAATTTTTTTTAACCAGTAGGGAAAAAAATTATTTTGAAATCGCTACCTACAATTGAACATCAAAATTTTTTTTATTTCACTCAATAATTATATAATTGTATTAAAATTTAAGAACAATGTAAAAGGCAAATATAGGAGGAACCCTTAAAACTATAACTTGTCAAGAATCGAAAGGAGGGCAAGAAGGGGGCCAAAAATCTACAAAACTGGGAGGCTTGGCTTGTTCCTATGAAACCCTAGAGATAAGCTCAAATGATAGAAGCAAGAAGTAAGAACTCGGTGCTTTGTTAGATTAATTTAATTTTGATTCTCAAAACTAATAAATATACATGTTAATAATTCTTTTAACTAACAAACTCACTGCATTAAACTTTTTATCCAACTAAAGTCACGTTGATGAGTTTGTTGGTTTAAAAAAATTACTAACTTGTATACTTGTTAGTTCAGAAAAATAAAAATTAAATAAACTCAACGATTCAAGCACCAGATTATAATTATAAATGGAGTACAAATTATAAAAATTATAAACTTGATTTTCCAGAACCTCCCGGTCTTCCCCTCTTGTGTCCTTTGATAATTTCCGTACATAATTCAATACAGTGGGGCCCTCTGGGGCGTCCCCTTCCTGCGGTTCATCAGACCAACCGAAATCTCCGACACCGGCGAACAAGCCGGCCTACACGCTCCTCTGAACGCCGAACCCCCGCCGCCGCCGCCGCCGCCGCTCCGTTTCTTCCTGACAATCTCCGTTGTAGCAGTGGAAACCAACACCCTGCAGTCCACGCCGCCGTAGCCACCCGAACCCGACGACGTGGTCCGGTTCGAGCCGGACGGCTCCAGCACCGAGTCTGGGGTCATAAGCCCGTTGTCGAACCCAGACTCAGGCAAGGGCAAATAGTTGCACTCGAACAAGTACCCAGAAAGGCCATTCCTTGTCCTCAAAAGGTAATCGATCTGTAAAAGTTCAGTCAATAGAAAGCTGAAGCGATATGAATGGAATGATATGAAATGAATCCGTTTGAGAGAGAAAGAAATAACATGGGAATTTGAGAAAGCTGAGAGATTGTGGGAGAAAAAGGTGGAATCATAATGGAATGGGAACTTGGCGTATTCAAAGAGACGGATGGTTCTTGAATAGGGTTTGCTTATTTATTATTATTTAACTGTTCATTTACCATTTATTATTTCATTTGCAAAAATAAAATAAAATAAAATGATAAAAGAGAACGGACCTTGCAAGAGAGAGAGCAGAATTGGTATGGGTCTTGCAGGCTTCTGTCACAGGTACTGCAGAAATTGCCGGAGCCTCTGAAGTTCCTTGTCTGTGGCCTTTGGTTCAAAAACACCACTTTTGCACTGTTCGTGGTATACGACTGTGAAAGAAACGTGAGAGTGAGAACATAAGACCCATTCTCTAATTCTTATTGTTTGAAACCTTCTTCTGTAACTTCATGGTGAATCAATGAATGAAGGAAGAATAATAATCAAATCAATCCATCGGTTTCTCAAGCACGCACAAACATCAATAAACCCAGCAGAACCCCAAGAATATCATCCAAACACAAAGGCTTACAACTACGAACCCGCTAGATTTTACAGTTAAATTAATTTCTAACACCAAGAATTAAAAACCCAGTTCCTCAATTCTCAGTATCTTCCATTTTTCATTCTTGAATTATACTGAACATAGGGTTTTTAGCCGAGAAAATTTCACTTACTTGAACTAAAGAGCAGTCAATTAACTTGGCAGCATCATCCAGCCTTATAACGTCGTGATAAACGTATCTTCTAATCTGGAAAAAGCAGCGAGAAAACTAAAATCAGATCAAAGCAAGAATGGTTAATCTATTAGCATCAGATTGTTTTTTTTTTTTCGGCCATACGAAAAATTCTTTTCACAAGTTGAAATGAACCTGCAAGAGTCTGTGAGAACGATGAGGGGGCAAACAGTGAGGGCAAAGGCTGGTACAACAATCCAAACAGTACACGTTCTTCTCGTTCTTCTTCGCTTCCTCGTGAATTATACAAGCGTTATAGAATTTCTCAGTGAGAAGGACTTGAAGCCAGCGAGGAACATGTGAAGAAGAAAACAACTGCATATATATGTTCACAAATTAGAATCAATTAACTCTCAGACTTACACAGAACGAAACATAAGTGAGAAAATTTGAAGGCAAAGGAAGGAGAAAGATTATGAGACCCACCATGATTTTCTTCCCCCGGGAATTTGAATTTTCGATGCCCTAGCGAGTGTCTCTTGAGTTGCAGGTTGTGGCTATGGAGGTAGGGGAGGGTGAGAGTGACGATCACAGAGAGAAAAACCGGATTTGATTTTAAAAAGAAAGAGAGAGGAAGAGAGAGGGGGGAGGAGGAGGAGAGAGAGTATGTCAGTAAAAAGGAGCGGCGCTTGACTGCTGAAGAAGCAAATATTACTGTTACCAATGAACAAGAGGGCAGGACGAAAGGGAGGCATGGTGGCCACAATTAAAGAGGATTGTGTCACGCACTGCTCACCTTAATTTAGTGGAATTTTTTAATAGAAATTTCTGATAAATTTCTAATTTAATAAATTGTTATATTTAATTTTTCCAGTCAATCATTTTCGACTGGTTGTTGAATGGATTTTTTTTTTGGGGGGTTTAGAAACATTTGTTTTAATTACCGTGCTTTGTATATGTTTATATATCATACTTCAGGAAAAGTCTGACCAAGTTTGACCCTTTTTTGAGAGCGATATTTGTCACCTTTTTAATTTATTTCCAAGTTGTTCGTGATTCCATCAAGAAATTATTAAAACTAGTTGTATGAAAATATGGAATGATAACTAAAATACTTTGGTGTTGATCAAATTTAATTCAATTCAAACAAATGTATAAAATTTAAGTTGATTTGAGATAAATATTATTTTGTAAAAATAATAATATAAATAAATCAGTCTAATATTGCTTTTTTTTCAAATAAATTAGTCTAATATAGTTATGACATCAACATCATATAAATTATAATTATAATTGTAATGATCATTCCATTTTTCCCAACCGTTTTTTTCTTGTCCACCCTAATGATTTTTCCTTCTTTTTCCCCCTCCTTTGCCAGCGCAATGATCTTTCATTTAGAATTATAATTTTGATGGAATTAAACAACTTTCTTTCCGTACAGTTGGATAATCTTCGTGGTTAAATTCTAATATATATACGATGGTACCCTCTGGCGGTTTCATTTATTTCTCTCGCAGGAAAATATGATCCGAGATCTTAGTGACATTATTATAAACTGTCATAATCAATGTTCTTAGTTTCTTACAAAGGAAGGCGGTAGTAATTTAGTTTTTTTTTTCCTTCAAAATATATTAAAAAAGTCAGTAAAATCACCTTTATGGAGAAAACAAGAAACTCCTAATATCCCCACAAGACAAAACAAAAGTACTCGAAACCTAAAAAAGTGTTTGTGCTTTGGAGATTTTGTGACAAGTCTGTTATTTTACAATTTTAATAAAATATGAATTACTACTCAGAAAAAATTTGGTAAAAAATTATGGTATTTTATATAGCAAGAACACTATTACATGGCAGGTTATCCAATAATTTTTTTTATTTGTGTAAAAAAATCTTCAAAGCAAGAAACATTTTGTTTGGAAATGAAAAGTATATATATAATACGCATGTATAATAAAATTAAACGAGATATTTTAAATATACCGCTTCTTCCGATTCTAATTATAAGACCTTGTTTATAAATTACAAACAAGATTTTATAATTAGGACATAAAGTAATATAAAATTAGATAAATAAGTCAAGTTATGAATAACATACTTTATTATACATTTTATTATATGTACATATTAATATATGTCGCTCTATAGCAATTCATGAATAAGCCAGAAACATTGCAATTTATATTTTACACTCCATGTATCTTATTCACATAACTACATTACAAGCTTGTAATTTGTAATAAGTTTGCTGCAAGTTACATTAGTTTTGATTTACCAATAATACAGTAAGCAATTATAAAAAACTCCCAGATCAAAAAATATGTTCTTATGTGAAATTTTGTTTGTTTCTTTTCAAATTTGCCGCTTTTGAAATAATAATTTTTTTAAAAAATTATTTATTAAGGGACAGGAAAAATTATTAAATAAAACTGTTTTTGAAAGGATATTTTTAAATATCATAAAACTCTGAACGTCGTATTGCAGAAAAATGCATGTACTAAAGAAATTGTGTATTTACCGACAGATGGAGTTTATACGTATTTTAAAATATTTATAAGTAATAAAAAATACAATTTTTTTTCGAAACTTTATGTAATTGATATTAAACGCACTAATTAACGATAGCAATATTAATTTTACTAGATTATTGTATTTAAACTAGATTAGATTATGAGTTTTGTGTTCTTACGAAGTTGAAGGTTTTTTTTGGATTGAAAGGAAATTGAAGGTTAATCACCCTAATTATATTACATCCCGTCATCAAAAATAAATTTTAGGAAAAATTAATCTTTTGGTCCTTCAAGTTTTAATTTAGTTATGACTTAATCTTTAACTATGACTCAGTATAATTCAATCCCTGAACTTTTAACTCGTTTAAAACTCAGTCATTGATATTTACTCAAATTAAAAATTGTATTCTTATCATCCAACCTAGCATGAATAAGCTGTCATATAAGAGCCACATCAACATAGGAAGGGGGAAAAGCCTGGGCAGTCAACGATGCCAAAGAAGAGGCTGTTGCTGAAGAAGATAACCCAATTCCGACAATGAAACAATTATCCTAATAACACACTCATCAAATACACCAATCTCGAGTACTTTAACAAAATCACTAATTCGTTTTCTTTAACTGAATTTCATCTTTCGTGCTTGATGCTTAAAATCACGCTGTGCCCACTCATTATATAGAAAATGAGTGACCCACAAATTGAAAACATGCCCTTCAAAATCACTCCATATAATGACAACTATTTTACTAAATTACATTCCAAATATTTTTTTGTACTTGTTCGTCCTACGACTATGCAAAACAACTAGGAAAAAAAAAGACAAGAAAAAGATCAAGACAGTGAAGGAGAAGGATTCTTATTAGTGAGCTATTATGTTCAATTGTCCATATATTTAAAGCATCATTAGGAGAAAAGGATGTCCGCTGCCACAACAGAAAATGTTTATGCAGGCAGAAAAAATAAAGATATTATTAGATCCGAGTGCCCAGGTTTTTTAATGAGTGGTCATTGAGGATAATGTTGTTTTCCCCGGCAACGGCCTCTTCTTTGGTATCGTTGATTGCTCAAGCTTTTCCCCTTCTCTCTTTATGCTAATGTGACTCTTATATAGCAGCTTATTCATATCAGGTTGGATGACTCAGTTTGACTTATGGATGATAAGGATACAATTTTTAAGTTGAGTAAATATCAAGGACTGGGTTTTTAAACAAGTTAAAAGTTCAGAGACTGAATTATACTGAGTCATAGTTAAAGAACTGAGTCACAATTGAGTAAATCTTGAAGGACCAAAAGATTAATTTTCCCTAAATTTTATAAAATAACAGTGACAATTAAATCATACAGATGAACTGAACATTCCGTCATATATAGTAATTCGCTTGAAAGGTTTTTTTTTTTTTTTGGGTGGATAATTTGAAGAGCGGCTGGGATCACCTCGCCGAGGTCTCAAAAAAAAGAAAAACAGGATGGTTTTGCAGATTACGATGAGCCCATGCCCCGAAGTGCTGAAATTGGCTAACCAAATGGTTAATTATGAATGGCTGTCTTGCTGGCGCTTTGTTTCTCTCACCCTCTGAATCTGCTAAATGACAACACAAGAAACAGTGACTTTTCTCAGTTCTCAGTATACAAAGTGTCAAGTGGCAATAGGCTTCTCTCCGGCCATTTGTCTAATGACAATTCTACCCACGTTTTCTGTTTATTAATTACTAATGCTTTTTCTGGTAATATTAATTACTAATGCTAATATTAACATCACTTTTTTTTTCGGCCAACATTCACATCACTATTTTAACACCATAAAATTTTATTTTTATTATTTAAATGTATAATTTAGTTAGTCCAAAAATCCTTTCTGAATAAATTAATTATAAATTAATATTTTTAATTGAATTCAAATAAAAATACCAATTATATGCCTTTTTATTATGAAGATTTTCATTAGAAAAATCAACATAAGACTACGAAATGCATTGCTTTAACATTGAATTTCAAATAATGCATGGACAAAATGGTGATAAAACTCAAGATTTAGGTGTTCTTCACCAATTAAAAAATACATTAAATGTCATTTTTTTTATCTTCATTTAAAATCAATCATCTACTATCTATAAGACATATCATATGGAAATAACAATCACAGTTTCTCACAATACAAAGCAACAACAAAAGAATTAAAGCTAAATACATCTCGTTATAACCATATAATTTGGAGCGATTCACAATATGATACTAGAGAAACTAAAAACAAAGAATACTATTAGTAGAAAGGAATGTCAAGGTTGCTCTTACTAATGTTTGAACACCATGATGGCAACTTAAAAAAGAGCCGTCACTACTAGTCAGGGGGTCCTCAGAAGACTGGTAAATCGGGTTTTCTAATATGTCGCTTTCACTCAGTATGTCATTATATTAATAACCTTCTATCAAGATTATTAATTAATTATTGAAAATATGCACAGCCAAAGTCCTGCCCTCCACTGCGACAAAGCTAATTAACGGGCACAATTAGGATATTTTATTTAACTATCCAATATAATATAATATAACATAGCATAACAATAAAATGAAATTTCTAACTGCCACTTGGCCTGTATGTGTCAAGGTTTATTAAGGTTGTACCACTATAATCATGATGATGAGTCCTCATAAGGCTTTATTATTTATAGTGCTATATTTTATATGACATTACATATGCATTTTTTTTGTTGGGGGAGGGGAGTATTTAACATAGATTTGGACTAATATTGCATCATTTGCACTTAAAATGGATTTGACAGTAATTGCATGGAATTAGCATAAAAAAGATAAAATTGTACCAACAAGTTATTAGTTGTGATGACAAGCTTATTAGGAGGACTTTAGAT